AGATCGCGGCTCTTTCAAGTATACATTTGATTTCGACCCAAGCGATCTAAGTGCACTGAAAAGATTGAATAACGATCAATTCCACAGAATGGCGAGCCGAGCGAAGGTCCGTCACGTTCTCCGTATGCACAATTGACACCCCGTTACTTTAGTTAGGTCAGTCGAACATTATAGTTGGGGCTAATAGGGAATTTATCAGATCGGCATGGGAGCCAAAAAGAAAGCTAAATACGGTGTCGTTTGGTGTGATGGATGGACGTGGACTATGGTTGCGTTGCTGTTTAGGATTACGCGAACGCTACGGCTTCACGGTGGAGGTGGCATACGGTGTTGACGATAAGGTGGACGCAGCTGTAACTACCTGTTTGTGCTTTCAGCGTTGCTCTTGGTCTTCGGAGTTCCAGCTATATCCGTGGATCCGATCACATCGGATTTTTGTGTACTCTAGCTACTTTATCTAAGCGAATCTCAGCCCGAGTTCTCTTGCGCACCTTTGCAGGTTGACGAGTACTTGTAGGCTTCGTAGGGAGGTGCTGAGTGGAGGACAGCGAGGGCAGACACTCGAAGGTAAGACAGTTGTGGCCGAGTAGGCGGATTCGGAAGTGAGCACTGCTTTGGTGCTTTTATCTCCAAGTTGAATCCATGTATTAGTGAGTCAATGTCTAACTACTGTCCACACTACCTTTGCTGTTCTCAGGTTCGACAATCCAGTCGGAACTCAGCAATTGTGGACGCTCTCCCGCAGTTAGCACTCGACTCTCCAGATATACAAGATATACAGCTTTGTGGAGCATTCCTCCACAAAGCACATGCAGCAGTCATCCACAGATCCAGCTACCGTACGTCCGCGTAACCGTAGACGCAAGCAGTCGACGCGACCACATTCTGAGATCCCATCAATCCAGTGCCTCGAGTCATCTTCCACGCTTCGAGTCATCCAGCTCCTCACGGTGCGGGAAATCTGCTGGATCTCTCATATTATCACCTCGCAATCTTCTGTGTCGCCGTACCCTTCCGTCGCTGCACACACTCCCATCGTTTTGCACTACCCCTAGGCCTTCATGCTCTTCAGGAGTCCGTGATTGCTCGTGTTCTTGCCAGTTTCGCACATTTTTT